GCAAGCCACTCCCACCAGGTCACATGACTAGCAAGCTACTCCCACTCAGTCACATGGCCAGCAAGACACTACCACTCAATCACATGGCCAGCTGAGCCATTCCCACAAAGCAGACCACACCTACAGAAGAGGTTCTAAAAAAATTTGAAACCCACCACTGGTCAGTGTTAATTCTTGGCCGCAGTTGTAAGCCAAGATGGCACAGCTTTGGATGGGGTTGGGGGCTGTAGGAAGGGGTAGGAGTAAAAGGGGAATGGAGTTTGCAAGAGACAATTAGCTTACTTAATTAGTGTGAAGATTTGTTCGTGATTGTCATTAGGGAGATATCGGCCTGGCAGCTCTCCAAGCCTGATAAGGTCTGTGGTTGTAAATCCACCCTTGAAAGACTGTTTGCCGGGACTTTGCTGGATGTGAATGAGAGGAATTCACAGGAGCTTCATAAAAAGGGAGTAAACAAGGAGTCTGCGTCATGATTTGGGGAAGCCTAGCTCAGAACACCTTGCTGGAATAGTTGCAATATTTCTATTCCTGAGAAGGAGAAAGAGAGAGGCTGACTTTTTCCTACTATCGTTGACATAGGGCCAATCCTAGCTGTGTCTTGAACCAGCCAAGGAGTGGGAGTAATCTTAGTGGAAAGAAAATCCTTGCAAGATATTTTATGGTGGTTTAAAAGAGTCAGAATGTCCTCATCTCAGCCAGCTTTCACTACATTTCCATGACTTGGGCCAAAGGTTGTCCACACCCATTGGCCTAGGATACATGGGTTGAGTCAACTGGTTCCCGGAGAGGAAGGAGGAGGCAACAGTGAATTATGTGCAGAAGTGGGTTCCTACCGGTTCGCACCGGTTCGATAGAACTGGTTCATCAAATCTACCGAACCGGTTAGTAGAGGTTCCACCAGTGGACCCCGGAAAGCAGGCCAAACCTACAGAAGAGGTTCCAACATTTTTTTTAAACCCACCACTGATTGTGTGACACCACTTCTTCCATCCTTCCTAGAAACCACATTAATCCAACACGACTGAAGAGTCATTGGAGTCCACAGCCTCCGACTGAAGTCTGGGAATTGTTCTATCCACGAACAAGATATCTATTGCGAAATATATACAGTTATATACCTCTTTCCTGGAGAGATGAGCTGAATACAGACTTCTCTGTAAAATACCTTACAGTCCTGGTGCCTGCGGTGTAAATTTTGTACAGTACCTAAAGTGTCTTTGAGTTTGCAACGGTGGTGAGGATATCGCCCTGGGAGACAGGAGGAAGAGCGACTGGCCAGGCAGAAGTCAGATCAACTGATTGTGCTGTAGGAATGTGTTTCTGGCAGTAGTGGGTTCCTCCCGGTACGGTACGGTACAGCCATACAGGTAGTAGCTGGGAGCAGCTGACAGCGTACTGGTAGGGTGGCGTGTTTCGCCCACCTGCCCGCCCGCGTTCTATACCTGTTTTTATAGCAACCGGCCAATTGCGCATGTGCACACAGCGTGCGGCTCCTGTGGAAGCCCCAACAAGCGGCTGGGTTTGTCACAGGGGCGGTGGGTTGCAGCTTGCATGCACGAACAGGACACACGGCCCCGTGAGGAGCGTAACAGTAGCGACGATAAGAGCAACCCACCACTGGTCTGTGGGGAACATCTTCCTAGTTTCTTGGAGCCATAAAGTGGTGAGGACAGGGGTGGGCTGCGACAGATTCGCTCAGGTTCAGGAGAACCCATAGCTAACGTTATGACTGGTTCGGAGAACCTCCAAATCCCACCCCCTGGCTGGCCACACCCACCCGTCCTGCCCCTCCCCTCCCAGGAGTCTCCACGCGGATGCGAGGTAAGTGTAGGGCCTGTGCGTAGGGTCAGGGAGGGGGGGAAAACAGGCCTCCTAGAACTTCCGGAAGGTGTTTCCGGCCTCCGGAGAGCCTCTGTAGCCCAGGAGAGACAGTTTTCACCCTCCCGGAGGCTAGAGAAAAGCTTATGGAGCCTGGGGAAGAAGAAAATGTCTCCCTGCTGTGGTGCAGGAGACTGACTAAGCCATGCCCAGCATGGCCACACCCAGCCAGCAACCGGCAGAGGACCCGCTCCTGAAATTTTTGAAGCCCACCCCTGGGGAGATGGGGGAGAGAGATACTTTCAGACTTGCAAGATTCTATTAATGTAAGCTTACAACCAAGCTGGAGGTTCTGGGTGTGATATGAGCTTATTTTTTTCCTAGTTCTGCTCTCATTCATCTGCATTCTTAGCCAACAGTGAAGTCAACGTCTCTGTTTTGAAAAATGACTCAGTAGCATCTTTCCCTGACTTTATTACAATCTTATTTTTCTGACTTGGTTACAGAACACTAAATTTCAAAAAATTTTATTGGAGCATAGGAAAAATCCTGGTTGGAAACAAATTGTCGGGAAGGAATTGAATTGAATTTTATTATTTGTATGCCGCCCTTCTCCGGGAGGGACTCAGGGCGGTGAACAACTCAAAAGGGAAAAGGGGAACATAAAACAGAATACAAGTAATTAAAATAACCAAGAATCACAACAACCATACAAGTCGAGA